GTTTCGTGTTGTTGATTCCTAGGTGTAGTCTTTCTTCCCTTATGCTGAGTTCTTATAAAAAATTGACGAAGTCTGTACGGTCCTGGAATATGGGTGTCCGATCCTTATGGACTAACGGGAAAAGTACATATTAGAACGCGCCAAAAAGTAGTTGGTACTACGATCTTTGGAGGAACAATACCCAAGCCCGAGGATACTGGTTGGTGATTGGAAATTGGAAACTGATATTTGAAAGAAACGATTACTTAAGGTGACTTATTTGTCAACTTTTCCACTATCTCCCCCAAAAAACCAAACTCTGCCTTACGCAAATACATTCCGTGCTTTTAACCCAACTCAAGCCGAAGAAACTTATTCCATGGTCACCGCTAACCGCTTTTGGTCCCAAATCTTTGGGGTTGCTTTTTCCAATAAACGTTGGTTACATTTCTTTATGTTTATTTTCATATTTGTTTTTCCTTAATTTTCATTCTGAATCTACTTCATCGGCAGAAAAAAAAAAGATTTTTCATCACGAGGCATTTTTGTTATGCTACTAATACTTGTACTTGCTCGCCTATTCTGCCCAAGCCCGGCTGAGGAAGAGTTTCGGGGCGTAAAACAAAAAAAGACGGGCCGGGTCGGCATACTATAGCAAAAGGTCAGGCCTATGATGACCTTTATCAGCGCCTAGGCACGAAGGAAGGGGAGAAGGACGTGTATAAGATAGCTAGGATCCGGGAGAGGAAGTCAAGGGACATCAACCAAATCAAATGCATCAAGGATGGGTCGGATCGGCTATTGGTGAAAGATGGGGAGATCAAGGACAGATGATGAGAGTACTTCGACAAATTGTTTAATGGGGAGAGTGAGGGTCCTACCCTGGAGTTCGATGACTCTTTTGAGGATACAAATAGACGTTTGGTGAGGAGAATTAGGGAGGCAGAGATTGGAGAGGCTATGAAGAAGATGAAGAGAGGTAAACCAATGGGCCCTGATGGTATCCCCATTGAGGTGTGGAGATGCTTGGGCGCCAGAGCGTTAGTATGACTAACTAAACATTTTAACCTTATCTTCCGGTCAAACAAGATGCCTGATGAATGGAGGAGAAGTACTTTAATACCGATCTTCAAGAACAAGGGCGATGTTCAAAGCTGTGGTAACTACCATGGGATTAACTTGCTGAGCCATACGATGAAGCTCTGGGAGAGGGTTATCGAGCATCGTCTACGACGAGTGACGAGTGTGACCCAAAACCAATTTGGGTTTATGCTTGGAAGGTCGACCATGGAGGCGATTTTCTTAATTCGTCAGTTGATGGAGAGATATAGGGACCAAAAGAAAGACTTGCACATGGTCTTTATCGACCTTGAGAAGGCTTATGACAGAGTACCGAGGAATGTCATGTGGTGGGCTTTAGAAAAGCACAAAGTCCCATCTAAGTACATTACCCTCATCAAGGATATGTACAAGGATGCGATGACGTGTGTCCGAACATGTGGGGACGATACCAGCGACTTCCCAATTAAAATAGGACTCCATCAGGGGTCAGCACTGAGCCCTTATTTATTTGTCTTGGTGATGGATGAGACCACAAGGGACATACAAGGTGATATCCCTTAGTGTATGCTATTTGCGGATGATGTGGTGCTAGTTGACGAAAGTAGGGCAGGGGTAAATAGGAAGTTAGAGATGTGGAAGGACACGCTAGAGTCGAAAGGCTTCAAAATAAGTAGGACGAAGATCGAGTACATGACGTGCGCCTTCAGCATGGCTACTCATGATGATGGCGATGTTAGCCTTGGCGGACAAGTAGTGGCAAAAAAGGAGACTTTCCGGTATCTATGATCGATGCTACAAAAGGATGGCGGCATTGATGAAGATGTTAGGCATAGAATTGCAGCCGGTTGGTTAAAATGGCGTCAAGCTTCGGGCGTTCTCTGTGATAAGAGGATGCCACAAAGGCTAAAAGGTAAGTCCTATAGGACGGCGATTCGCCCGGCGATGCTATACGGTGCCGAATGTTGGCCTACAAAAAGGCAACATATCCAACAACTAAGTGTAGTAGAGATGAGTATGTTGCGTTGGTTTTGCGGGCACACAAGAAGGGATAGAATCCAAAATGAGGATATTCGAGATAGGGTCGGGGTGACTCCAATTGAGGAGAAATTGGTCCAACATCGGCTGAGGTGGTTCGGACATGTCCAAAGGAGGTGCGTATGGGAGTTCTACAGCGGGTCGAGGATGTTAAGAGAGGTAGGGGTCGGTCTAAACTCACTTGGGAAGAGTCGGTTAAGAAAGACCTTAAAAATTGGAATATCTCCAAAGATTTAGCGGTGGATATGAGCGCTTAGAGACTAGCGATCTACGTGCCGGAACCGTGACTTTTACTCTTTTTTCTTTTGCTCCAATTTCTTATTTCTTTTTTCATTTCTTTCTGTCATTTCTTTTTTCTTCCTTTTCTATTTTTTTTTTTTTTTTTTNNNCTCTTACCACCATTTCTCATGAGTTTCATCACTACCCTACCCCAACTTGTTTGGGATTAAAAGGCTTTGTTGTTGTTGTTGTTTGTATAAAGCTTGGATCAAGCTCGATTCATTTGGTAAAAAGTACGGACGTTCATAATTTCGAGCTACTCAAGTTCGATTCATATTCAGCTAGACTATAACTAATACAACTATCCAAGCCCGACTTTATTAATAATCAAGCTCAGATCAAACACATATATCAAGCTCAACAAATATAAGACAAACTTGTACAGTCAACTGACAATGTTCGAACAGTTTAGACGTAATTAAAATGACTGCATAGCTCAAAATCTGAGCAAGTAATCAGAATTCACAACGCAGGCTGCTCGAAAAGAGAATCAAATAGCCAAATCAACCTCAAGAACTTACTCGGTCCTCCGGGTGGAAGCATGGGTGAATAATCCCGTTCATGTCCAGGTACAGATTATCGTACTCGAGGTTGTTAGGGTTGGGCTTGCTCGTGTCCACCGGAATTTTGACCCCCTCGATGACCACGGCCTCCTCCTCGACCACATCGACCACCACCATCGGATACTTCTCCGCCAGCCACCGGTAGAACGCCGGAACTCCCATTCTCGAGATCAAACAACGGCAGCAACAATGAAATCAACAACAAATTTGAAGATAAAACTCAAGAAAAAATTCAACGCCTGAGAAAGATTTGTCTGCCAAATCGAATGAACAGCAGAACAGAAACCAAATAAATTTAGGGCACGGATGTGGTTGAATGATTGGACGTAAACACCCCTGAGTGTAGGAGAAATTTCTTGGAGATAGGAAGGGTAAATTCGGCAATTAAATCTGCGCGTTGCTTGTTGCGGCTGGATATTTTGTCCAGCGATAGATATTTCCTTATGTGAAGATAGATCTGGTACTGAAGTCGAGTTTTTTGTGGTACTTTCAAAATATAATATATTAATTTGTACCGAAAAAAAATATAATATATTAATTAAATCATCGTTTATGAGTTTCAATCCTTGCTTCATATAATTAATTCCAACCTTTGAAAATAAAAAATATACTATTTTTTAGTCTAATTACAAAATATTAAATTTATTATTTATCAACTAAACATTTTTTTTTTTTTTTTTGGTACAATTTATCAACTAAACATTAATCTATAAGTATATTGCATAAAATGAGTTTTAAAAGTTTATTCAAAAATTATCTATTGAGACGAACGAATCTTACAGAAGTGATAACTGATTTAGTTTTAAAAATAACAATACAATTTTTTTAACCAAATATTTCAAAACTTAAAAGAACTTCTTTTAACCCATTTATGTTTGAAAACGTTAAATGAACCAATCAGCTCCTTGGTACAATTCTACTTGATTCGTTAAGACTTCAATTCAGCTCATTTGTTTAACAAACAAACAGAACTCAAACTCGTTTCATAGCTCACTTAGTTAGCGAGTTTGACTCATTAGACTAAAAAACTAGGGTTTTAACGTAAGTTTCTAATCTACCTTACCTAACTCATTAATTGTAGACGTGGCCAAACCCTGGTTTCGGCCCGCGGTTTTGAGGAATCGGAATCGGCCCAGATTTTGGCACAGGCTGGTTCACTGAACCGGCGGTTCGGGACTGCTTCGACCAAATTTTGGGCCGCTTCGATCGGTTTCAGTTTCGACGGGCTAATTTTTAGTTTTTAAAAAATGGACTTTGGCTTAGTTGACATATTTTAAGTTAAAATATCATTTAAGTTGTAGGTTTTTTTTTTTACAAACTGACATATTAACTTGTAATATGTTTGTCTACGTATCTCTTACATTATGAATCAAAGTCATCGTAGTTCTCTTACTATATTCACCTTGATAAACGTAGATGGCATGATTTTTCATCAAATCCAAAACATCAGTATGGAGTTTACTTTGTGATTAACAAGTGGCATGATTTTTGCGTACCTAAAATTCTAACAGAACCGACCGTCTAGTAATCGTAGTCGTAGGTGTGGTACTCCTCTTCATTTTCGGTGTTTCCACTAGTACTAGTAGTAAAATCGAATGCCTCATCATCTTCGACATTAGCATTACCTTTTCTGCCCTCATTTTGACCTTCTTCTAGTCACTCGGCATCATTTGAGTCTCCAAGTTTTCTGGCGTCAACCTCGACCGTCGTGGATCCAGTGTATATCCTCCCTCGCTGAATGCTTGTTCTCCTAGGCCATCAAGCATGGAATGGATAAATGTGTGTCATCTTTGACCACAAATCCAATACGTCATTTTTTATTTTTATTTTACTAATCAAATTTTATTTATTAGATAAATTATGTTATAAATTAGAATTTATAACATAATAATCTCTAATTTTTAACATCATAATAATAAATTCGACAAGATAATAAATTCTAATTTATAAAATAATAATTTCTCTAGCATAATAGTAATAAATTCTACAAGATAATCAATTCTAATTTATAACATAATAATTTTTAGATTCTAACATAATAATAATAATTAGTTCTACAAGATATCAATTCTAATTTATAACATAATAATAATTAGTACCTTAACTTAAAAAAAAAAAATATCAAAAAAAAAAGAAAAACACGGCCACATTCGCCGGCTGGCTGACCGTGGGGCGGCCAATATTTCCGGCCGGCTGTGGTTTTTTTTAAACAATAGAATATAGGGCAAAACGATTCAAGAGGGTGGTAAGCAGTAAAAAAAGGGACGTGTGTAACAATTCACATAAAAAAAAAAATAAATAAATAAATAGCATCTTCCTATTATTTAGGCTAACCTGACATTTCGGGCTACGGTCCAATGAAAGGACGGTCCAATTCCGTCGACAAAATTGGGCTTTTTTTAATAATCTTATGTCCAATTGAAATGTGGGATGCTTCTTCTTAACCCTTAAGAAGAAAGATGGGGATCAAAGAACATTTAAGTTTGAAGTGAAAACAAAACAACTAATAGAATTTATATTATCCATATTATTTAAGGTGACAATTGAAAATTATTATTTAATTGAATGTGATTTATTGGATAGAATGAGTTGAAGCTGGCGAAAAATAATTAGGTGAAACTTTTTTATCTATGAATAATCCTGAGTTAAAATGTAATGATTAAAGTTGATATAATGTAAAAGTAGTACAATAATGATTGCAAATGATTGATAGTTTAAATAATGTGAATGAATAATACATACTTATGGTATAAAATATCATACTTTTATTTATGTAATTTTTATAGCGATTAAGCCTATTAACAACCGTCTTTTACATATAAGTGTCTACTAATAAAATTTTATATGTTATATGCATGTATGTAATACTTAAAATATTAAGTTAGATAATGAGCATATTACATTTTATATGTTCTATCATAGTAATTGTGCAATAATATAATTTTTGCAATCTTTACAATATTGAAATTATTATTATAGCAATTGTGCAAGAAATTTAAAAGGTTTGGTTATATCATAAAAAAATAATTAGATAATGTTAATAAAATAAACTTGCTTAATGAGTTAAAACGAAAAAGAAATAATAATTTTAAATGAATAGTTCAGAAAAAAACTTAGATTATAATATCATTTAATGTGAATTTATTATTTATTAAAAGTAGTTGTTATATAATAAATAAAAAAATATACGTACTTAAATAATGCAAAATGGGTCGGTTCTTTTTTGCTGGAGAGCGTGTCAGTTCTTGGATTGATTCGGGTGTGAGTCTTCGCCTTTGCTAGGCGTTCGGCAGCAGTGGTGGGCGTGGTTCTTGTGTCCTGGATCTATTATAAGAGTCGTCTATTGTCCTCTTGTTCAGTTCGGTGTTCTGCTGAGGGAGGGCTTGTCTATTTATGTTTAGGTGTGTTTGTTTGTTTTAATCTACGTTGTGTTGTTTTTGGTCTTGTTTTTTTTGGTTTGGAACATTTGGTCTCTGTGAGCCCGAGTGTAACTTTATTATCCTGTTGGGATCCTACACTCGGGCGTTCTCTTGTTGGGAGCTTTTTAGTTGTTTTAGTTGTTAGTGTAGTTGGTCTATTTAGTTGCTAGTATTTTTATTTTAGCGTTGCTAGTCGGGATTCTAGGCGGTCTTCTGACTTGTCTTCCCACTTTTTCAGATGTTGATTGTTGTGTCGCATTTGTGCATTTTGATTTATAATATTATCTATCGTTTTGAAAAAAAAAATGCAAAAGTAACGAAAAAATGGAGAGAAAATATCCGTATGCAAATTCACCAAGCAAAAACCAACAAACATTCATGCATGTAAGTAATGCTTACTTACGAACTGTTAACATCTCTCTCTATATATTAATTCAAAACGCGTTGAGCCTAAGTGGCAGCTTCTCACGCTTCGAATGCTGATATGGCGAAAATATATGTTTCGTGATATTGTTTTTATATTATTTTTGCTCTGGAGTACTTAGGTTTGGTATTAAACATCAATAACTTGCATCATATATTTCTTATCTTAAAACCCATATTGTACATGAGTATTGTATTAGTATTCAATTATTGCCAAAACATATATGGAATAAAATTCTAATAATGGCTTCATAAATTTTGTTCATGTCACATACGCACGTTCCTAATGGAGTTTGAACCAATAATGGCTTAGGTATCACTTGGCATTAGCCAATTTGTTTGTCAAGCATGAAATATATATATATATAGAGGCTCAAAATTAACAAAAGATTTTCACGTGAACCAAACATTGAGATAAATGAATTCAAATAAATGATGGATTTAAACTTTTATTTTTTTTTGGTACCCAGCTATAATATTCGGAATTTTGTCCCGACTAATCTGTTGGTCGATCCGAGTTGCACACCTGCAAATGGTGGATGAGTCTCCCAACAAGGATTTCTGCATTCACAAGGACTCAAACCCGAGACCTTGCTTAAGCGACATCAAACTGCTTACCACTTGAGTTAACCCCTGTTGGTGATGAATTTAAACTTTCATAATAAATGTTATTGACCCAAGGCTCATTAGGCTAAGGAAAAAGACTTGAATTTACGCATGTAAGTTTCTGAACAAAAGACTTGAATTCGACTAGGTAATTAAGATTTGAGTTCAACAATTTACTTTTAATATATGACCGAGCTCGAGAGCTTATTTAGTTAATTTACGAGTCTAGTAATAAAAGTTCCAATCGAGTACTCAATTATTAGGAATTCAAGTTTGACTCGACTCAACTCGTCTATAGCCCTGTCCATATCCTACCGTGTCGTGTACTCATTGCTTACAAAAGAAAAAAAAATGGCTACCCCTTTCTCCCCAAAAAGACCTATATATACCTAAACAAGATAAAGGGAAAACACCAAACCTAAATTCCCACCGAACAATTACCCTCAAGACAAAAGGGCATGCATCACAACTTCTAAAATTAAACCCTAAAATTCACCAAGTCTCATTAAAGTTCACAAACCCCACTCCCCCTTATATATCTCACTCAAAACCATAGAAAATGACGTATATTCACACACATACACACAATGAAACTTTAATTTGCAGATATAATAAAAGCTTGTTTGTCTTAAACCTCTTTGCAACTTACACATTCATCCAGCTTGTATTAAGGCCCACCCTCTAATTATCCCGAAAATATAAAGCCTTTTTCAT